TTTCACCCCTGGTTTTAAAGGGAAGCCAAAAGGAAAAGCAGCGTGTTGGGAACGGCCCCTATTCAGCCACAAACAATAGGTTCACATGGAGACCTACAAGGTGGCCACCCTACTTAACACGTACTTATAACTACAGTAAATCCGGGATGTTACTTATATTCTACTTATAGCTAACTAGTTTCTAAGTACTTTCTAACTTCCGTAACTTTTTTGGCTCGAAAAAACATGTGGTTTTTTATTCGGCCCAATTTAGCAGCACAAAACATACAGAATCGACCGCGTTGTCCAGGTCGTGTTGTTCTTGAGAGCGAAAATGGGCTGTGGCTCAGCGAAACGACGCCATTGCTCGGCTGACGCGTGAAAAGCGGTTTCGTGTATATTTGGAGAATGGAGAGAGAAAGATGGCAAGCGTATATATCCTGGGCGTCCTCGACCATACTTTTATGTGTCTAGGCCACAAACTGCGCAAGCCACCTGCTGGTTATGTCCTTCGACCATGAAAAGGAAAGAGGCATCGAAGGCATCGATTGACTGGCCAAGTATGAGTTTTGGATCTTAATTGTTTCTGGATGTGATTGCGCTGGTTTTTGGCTGAATCGCAACGCTCAATGCATCGTATTTCAATCGGTGCACATGGCTTGCAAATCATTGGACCTTCAAACTCCGTTGCCTAGCTTATGAGCAAAACAGACTTTCCATATTTTCATTGAACGTTGGGAGTCGGGCAAATTGGTGCGCATAAGAAGAGTCCTGGAAACTGGGCTAGCTGAGGAATAAGCAAAGCCGCCTTGATCAGTTTGCTTGTCATGATGGTGGTCTGGCCGACCATAGTTATCTGCCAAGCAGGCATAATTTCCTCGCAAACACCCGCACTCAAATGTAGTCTTATGTCACACTCTTAAGCGGTTGGCAGGTTGACTTCTTATCCTTTTTGCCTTACCGTTCGGACCAAACAAGCCATAAAAAAGCCAACGTTGTACAATCCCATGTGTAGGTCTTTAACCATTTATGGCCTCTGACCTTCGCCCATACTTTCAATGGTCTTTGGAATCATAGGGAAAGACATATATATATATATATATACGTATTTATATATGTGTCAATGTGTCGCGGCCGCGCCGCCGCGCCGCTGTAAATTTAGCGGCTGCGCCGCTCCGATTTAGCGGCTGCGCCGCTCCGTGAGCGGCTGCGCCACTGCTTGTGTGTAGCGGCTGCGCCGCTGTTGCAGCAGCCGCGCCGCTCTGTGTGCGGCTGCGCCGCTGTTTGTGTAGCGGCCGCGCCGCTACATTTTCTTCCATCGTGGGAGCGATCGAGCGTGCGAGCGGCGCAGCCGCTACAGACGCCACAGAGCAGCGCGGCCGCAATGACGCACATATATGAGCGGCGCAGCCGCCAGATACAAAGAGCGGCGCCGCAGCCATTCTCGGCACAGACGCTGCACGATGGAGCGGCGCTGCCGCCGTTATACGGACGTAAGCGCGGCGCGGCCGCCAAGCGCTCGGAGATGGCAGGGCCGCTGTGTGCGGGCACATGCGTGGTACGGTTCCAACTCCAATTCTTCAAGCACAGGCTTGTGTGCAGGCGCTGCAAAACATTGCCGTCCAAGCACCGCCAGTGCGCCGCATAGGAGCTATGCTGAGAGCAAGCGTGTGATTACGCTGCGCGAAGCAGTGGATGACTGCAGCGCAGCACAAGTCCGGGTCATGTCTCCCTTGGCCAGGGAGACCCCGGCAACCAGACATGGCTGGCTTGTGACCCGCCGCACTGTCACTGTCAACCACAGGCGGCCGGGGAATTGCAGGGAACAGCTGCAGGCCCATGCTGGAGGCACTGGTCTGTCCGAGTTGAAATGTTACGAAGGCATCGCGCGGGGGCCAATTTCAACCGAAATTGGTATGAAGAATGGCCGAAGGATTGACAAACGGTTTTTGTTTTTGGCAAGAGCTTAGGCAAGGAAACCTATCGAAAGAGACCTTGCGAAAACCACGGATTTGGCAGGCCGGTCGTCTCGGTGGAACTACAAAGAACTACACGGGCTCGACCGGGTTCCAGATGAACAGTAATGAAAGAACTACACGCAAAACCTGGCCGCCAGAGGCAGCTGAGTGAAGGGTGGAACTACAAAGAACTACAAAGAACTACGCGGTCCAGGGGGTGGAATTCCAAGCTATTACTTTTGGATTCCGGTGGTGTGCGCGGAATGTGGCAGGAGCCTTGGAGCTGCCAGTCTGCCCAGCTTGGAGCTGGCAGCTGCCAGTCTGGAGCTGGCAGCTGCCAGTCTGGCGCGGGTCTGGGGTTGGCAGCTGCCAGTCTGGAGCTGGCTGCTGCCAGTCTGGAGCTGGCAGCTGCCAGTTTGAAGCTGGCAGCTGCCAGTCTGGAGCTGGCAGTTGCCAGTCTGCAGCTGCCAGTCTGGAGCTGGCAGCTGCCAAGTCTGGACCTGGCAGTTTGGAGCTGGCAGCAGCCAGTTTGGAGCTGGCAGCTGCCAGTTTGACCAGTCTGGAGCTGACAGTTGCCAGTGTGGAGCTGGCAGCTGCCAGTTTGGAGTTGCAGCTGCCAGTCTGGAGCTGGTTCGGAGTTGGCGTCTGCCAGTCTGGAGCTGGCAGTTGCCAGTCTGGGGCTGGCAGCTGCCAGTCTGCAGCTGGCAACTGCCAGTCTGGAGCTGGCAGCTGTCAGTCTGAAGCTGGCAGTTGCCAGTCTGGAGCTAGCAGTTGCCAGTCTGGAGCTGGCAGTTGCCAGTTTGGACCTGGCAGCTGCCAGTCTGGAGTTGCCAGTCTGGAGCTGGCAGCTGCCAGTCTGGACCTGGCAGCTGCCAGTTTGGAGTTGGCAGCTGCCAGTCTGGAGCAGGCAGCTGCCAGTCCGGAAGCGGCAGCTGCTGGCAGCTGCCAGTCTGGAGGCAGTCTGGAAGCTGGAGGCTGCCAGTCTGGAAGCTGAAAAGTTTTCTGAAAAATGCCAATCTGAAAGCGGCAACTAGTCTTTAATCTGAACTGGCAGTTGCCAGTTGGGATGGGGCTGCCAGTGCGGAGGCGGCAGCTGCCAGTTTGGACGTGGCAGCTGCCAGTCTGGAGCCGGCAGGCTGGAAGCTGGAGGCCCAGAATATAGCGAGCAACAGCTGCCGGGGCGCATTATACAAATCCATCTCTGCTGGGGCCTTTGAGCCGCGCCGCCGCTGTGTCGGAGGGCCGCGGGCTTCATTGTAAAAGGGGGGGGGAAATGAGACGGATGCAGGAGCGGCGCCGCCCCTGAGGATGGGCAGCCGCTGTAGACAGTGATCACAGAGCGGCGCAGCCGCTGTAGAAAGTGGGCGCAGAGGGGCGCAGCCGCTGTGCCCTGCGCTAAGCCGCGCGGCCGCGAGTGTGCGGAGCGGCGCCGCCGCTGAGGTCGCGCTGCCGCTACTGGCAGAGTGATCACAAAGCGGTGCAGCCGCTATAGAGGGTGATCACAGAGCGCCGCCCCTGTGCAGTAACGGACAGTGATCGCAGAGCGACGCAGCCGCTGCGCCCTGCGCTGAGCCGCGCCGCCGCCACACGCGCCCTGCGCGTGGTCGGCGCGCATTTATCAAACGTCCGCACCTGCATGTGTTTTTTGCCTGCGTGGATGCGCCTGACAAAGCCTATTGTGTACATATACCTATATATAATATGTTCTACCATGTGACTAAAGCGATGCCGGCGCCCGGCACACCTTTCCAGAAGATCAACAAAAACAACGGATCTGCGATGTGAGGCACTGACACGTTGGGGAGCAGCATTTCAGCAGCGTTTGCTCGCGCTCGCTTGCCAAAATCTACTCGAGCAAGTCACGGGAGATACTTTTTCTGCCCCGAGAAGACTCGGTGCCAAAATCCTGCTTTTGCATTGGAAAAAGCTAACTAGTTCCTAACTAGTTTCTAACTTTTCGCACGAAGTTACATAAGTGCCTGCTAAGTACCTAAGTAAGTTATAAGTTTCCCTTGAACTTACCGTAGTTAGGATGTACTTGCCGCACTTATAAGTCACGTTATTGAACTTATAAGTGATGCTATAAGTTACTTCTAAGTCATGCGGCCACCTTGTAGACCAAACCAACACCGCGAACCTGCAAAGCCGACAGACATGTCGGGTGCAAGACTTCCAGCGGTCCTTGCATGTCCTTGCTGCCCAATCGAAAGGAAGCACAACATTCTACAGATTTGTTCAGTGGGTACCTTCTCCAAGGTCGACAGGACGCAGGGAAAAAAACACTTCTTCCTTCTCGCTTTGCGGCACTACGCACAAACAAACAAACAAACAAACAAACAAAACAAAACAACACAAAACAAAACAAACATCCAGCCAGCCAGCCAGCCAGCCAGCCAACCAACCAACCAACCAACCAACCAATTTAAACACACCAAATAGTCAAATTCAACACGCAAACACCGCATAGTCAAGCATGGCCCGCGCCGGATCCACTCCGTGCGTCTTTGGCACAGATCTTCGGTTCTCCGGCCCTCGCAAGAGACGCGCTCCGCGTGGACCTCTAGCAGCGTTCAGCGCGCCCCCGGGACAAAGAGGCTCCGAGTATTGATCTCAAACGACTACGCTTCCTCCAACTAACATGCCACCCGTGGGGAGGTAATTACCTGGAAGATCAAATCCCTTTTGAAGGGACCCCCTGTCAGCCATTTAGTGGGAGGGAGGGTAAATCCGAGCCAAACGGTGTTCTTTTTGAGGAGTCGTCAGGTTTGCGGCTTTGAAACATGATTGGATTGTTGAGAAAAACAAGGACGGCCGGCATGTTTAGCGACAAGCCGAACTTGCAGATCTGAGAGTGGCACACCGACATGCACATGTCGGGCCACCCCACACGGACATCCGCCGTGGGAAATAATATCCCAAACAACTTCAACGTTGTTTGCTAAGTTGAGAGCGGCTCAAACTGTGGCAGAATTGCCACCATCTCCCCTTGAAGCATCACCCCTTTTCGGGGGAGGCCGCGTTTTTTTTGTGGTTTGCCCCTGTGAAGGCTCCACGAAGAAACGTTCACCACTTCACGAGGCCAGCGAGCTTGGGATCATCGATGAAGGGGTTGCGGTTGTTTTGCAGCTGCTCGGCCAGGTCGTTGCGGTTCTTCTCCCGGTTGCTGGCCGGAAACTGCTGCGCCCACCTCGGTGCTGGGACCACGGTTCGAAAAAAGAGACTCGTTTTGGTGGGAAAAAATGCAGCCGAGCATCTTCAAGGCGCACACCAAAAGAAACGTACACAAGAAACATACACACGTGTTTTAGAATCCATCCTGGCATTGCCTGGCCATCGGGGTCAATATGACCACCATTGTTTACCTGAGGAGTGCAAAACGATGTCACTTTATGTCTAAGTGACTGCAAAAGCAATTCGCTATCAAGTATCACTCATCTGTACTTAGTGCAATTTGTGCAATGATACAAGTGACCTTTCAGGGTCCTTTGGAATGGGGTTGCAGGGGAAAGGGGAGAGCAGCAAATTTGAGGTTCGGAGGGCCAGTTCGAGGTTGGGAGGGGTTCTTGAGGAGCGTGCCACGGCGTGTCACGGCGTGTCGGGGGGTGGCCAATTGCCGGCACATGTACGTTGAACGGTCACTTTTTGTTGGATATGAGCGTGTCACCAGCGTGTCGCCCCCCCTCCCCCCCCCTGCGCGTTGTATGTCTTAGCCCAACCCCTCAATTGGATCCCCTCTAGTATCCTGAAGTGACGTTTCAACAAAAGAGACTTTTCACTGCAATTTGGTGATGGCAAAAAACAACTATGTGACTACAAAACCACTTTTAAGCAAGTGCTGGTCAATTGCTGGCACTTCACCCGGGACGCCAATTACCGGCCATCGGGGGGGCCTGGATAACATGTATGTATAATTATATATATAATTATGTATATAAAACATGCCAACAACAGTGAAGAGCTCTTCTTTCGACCCGAGGAGCTTCTTGACGGCCTTGAGATTCCCCAGCTCCATGGACCGGGTCTCAGTGCCGACGCGATCCACCAAGCGAAGGCCATTGCCATGGTACATGCAGGCCATGTACATCAGCGCCCTCGCCACCTGCGCAAGGGGTGATTCCACATTCTCTTCACTCAACCTCCTTACATGCTTTCCTAGGGGTTTCCCATGATTCCTGAAGAGATTCCCAGAAGGTTTCCCATGATTCCTGAAGAGAATGAAACATTTTTCCCAGAAGGTTTCACATGATTCCTGAAGAGAATGGGAAAGGTACTTCTAGCACATCTGGGGACAGAAAATCATATTGTTCGATCAAGTTTCATATGAGAGCTTCTCAAAATAGTCGGCTCCCTCTTAGGTAGCAATAACGGAAACCAAAGGAAATCAACTATGCTTTGAAAACTATTGGCTCTCCTTGTAAAACAACGCCAAATGTGTACCCTCAAGAAGAAACACCATATTCCTCTATATAATGATAGTAGAAACCCCGCAAATGGGCAGATTGAGAAGCTTTGACTGATGCCCCCAAGAATGAAGATCACAAGCCACTTCCAGAGGGAGCTCGAAAGCGAACGTCATCCCGCATGGATATGGTCCGTAGACGACACTTGTAAGCAGCATCTTCACGAATGCTGAACAGCGATCGCGTAGCGACACGAAGAACCGAAGGGCCCCAAGCGCTGTGGCATGGAAGGGCACACTCAGAAAAGGAAGGGTTTTGTGTATTACACAGAAGGAATACACTCACTGGGTATTGACCCCATTCAGGCACATGTCCGGATAAAACCGTGTTATTTTGAACCATTCTGGGCCATTTCGCAAGGGTGTGATTTCAGGGAGTAACACCAAAACCCTCAGACAAAAGCGGCGAACAGTTCGGATAAGGAAGGTGCCTAAGGCCGAACAGATCGAATCAGGCGCGGAGTTAACTGTGCACACCTGTGGTCTCACCTGCCGAAGCAAAGGAGAACGCGAAGCGAAAGTGGGTGAAGACTCCTGAGACAAGTGGCCCAGAAAAAGGCTCAAGCAGTCGTGCCAGGGAACTGGAAAGCAGTAGAACTGCCAGGTAGCGTATCGTGGCCGAAAAAGTGGCGCAGAATAGCGATCGCGGCAGGGTAATTAGTTGGAGTGGCAGAGCCAAACCACTTGGTTCGAGAATATCAGCATAAATCGCGAGCTGCGAGGAGCTAAAAGCGATGCTGGCAGAATGTCCGATGTTGCGCAGCAAAGTCAGCTGCAAAGCTCCCACCGCCAAACCCTCAGCAGAAGGGCTAAAAACTCTCAAGCAAGTCTGCGGCGTATGGAACCAATACTGAATGACGATTCAAGCAGTTAGTTCCTGGCCCATTGCAAGAGAGGGTGGCAAGACTTCTGCGACATACACTGGGCACTGGCAACGTAGAAACAGCACAGAGCGCTCTGGCACGAAAGGCCCGCAGGGAAACAAGGCAAGGGCAGCGGATCACACGGATGTGAGGGGCATGTGACCGTCCAGAGGTCAGCGAAGGACCTTCCATGGCAGGGAAAGTGTCAAGAGACGGCAAGGTGACGTCCCGTGGGACGCTATGCACCGAACCCTCAAGCTGTAATACCAACCACGTAGAAAGGTGTATACGGACGATGCCGTTATAGCCGAACCCGTGTAAACGTTGTAAGGGAGAAGGAATGATAGTTACAACAGTAGTCCTGACAAATGCAGCGCAAGCGAAGTGTTTTCGCTCTCAATGCCGATCACGTATGTATGCAGTCACACATCAGATCTTGAACCTCAATTGTGTCTTGAGCCAAATGGCGATCAATGGAACTTGGGAAGCAACACCAACAAGGACCTCAGAACAGCTACCCAATTTCGGCACGGGGCCTAGAGGGTTTTAACATCCCCCATTTGGGTCGCATTGTTCATCATGCGGTCCAAACACCACAAAACGTTCCACTGGCCACGGCTTCAACTACGAAATCGTGTCGTGCATTCTTTTACTTGCTATCACTACACCGTTCATTCGCTGTGAAACATGCCGGGTTCGATTGTACGAAAAGTGAAACATTCATCCTCCAATCGAAGCACACATCCATATGCAGGTGTATATAATACACAATCGTCACGTCATTTACCACCAATGAACAATCCAGCTGCCGCATTTGCGCATCGCGCAGCTGTCATCCATAAATGGGTTGGCCGAAAAAGTCCACCAGAGGCGCCTGCTCGCAATCGGTCTGCATATTTCCGGCAAAGAAACATCGGTGAGTAATCAATGCAAATCATAACCATTCCAGATACCATGGACAATGCATAAATAATTAAAAGATATCATCTATAAGGTAATAGTTCCATCCATGAATATCCAGAGCGTCATAGTCATCGGAATATGTAACCATGTACACACCCAATCATCTTGGACACATGAATATAAATCATGACATAAGTCGTTCCACCGAAACAGTGTCGATGTGACGCAAGTAACAGATGGGGACTGACCCACATCGTACCGCAATCAGCATCTTCACGAAGCATACCTGTCCCCAATGGACAGCCTATGGGTACGTCGGCGGAACTCCTCGTCCAAGTTCTTCTGGGCTTCTCGTGCCCGGACACACTTCTTGTTGTAGTCCTCTGGCAACCAGTGCCCTTTCCGAAGGCACCAATCCAGCAGGGGTGTGTCGCATTTGTTCGGGTCGATGGCCGAGATGATGGCGCTCACGTTGACCGTGTAACCATTCTTGCCAAGGTTTAGGCCATCCCTCACGAATGATATATACTTACAGTTGAAAGCTAGTGCAAAACATCTGAAAATAATATCACCCACCGGGTGCACTCGGTCCTTGACCAGGAGCTTCATTTCTTCCTTGGTGACATCGAGGATTCTCGCTGCAATCCACAGCTTGTAGAATGTGTAAAGTCCCTCGCATTTGCACACCATCATACGAATATATTCGTCACGCTCCTCAACCGATCGGAAGGCTCTTGTCCGAACATTCTCCGATTGAGAAATCTTCGTTATTGTTGATGGCAAAAGTATACCTTCCTGATCATGCTCGGTGATGTTGGGGTACCTCTTGAAGTCATTGTGATAAGGGCAGCCCGGCCTCCCTTCGAGTCCGGCATTCATCGTTCTCTCCTCACCACCTTCAAACATCCCCCACATCTTGGACAGCTGGAGTGCGATAAATCCTGCCATGTACTGAGCCTCACGCGGCTCGTCAAGGCAGATCGCCATCCGTTGGGAACTTATAATGTCCCGTGACGCCAGATCGGTGTCGCGGTAATGCCAACCGCTGTCTTCTTCTTCTGACGCATAGCCGGATGTATATCCTTGCGTGTCCATGTCGTCATCTTCTCCCGGAACTTCCTCCGCTTCGTCTTCATCCTCCTGTGCTGCCGCATCGTGGTTAGCTTCTTCCTGTGCACGCCTGGCATCTCCAGAGACGTTGGGGTTTTGGTTGTCCTCCTCGTCATCGGATTTGATGTGAATGTAGTATCTTCCGATGGAGATCAGTTGTGCCTCGCACTCCAGGCATAAGCAGAAGCAGGTGGGGATCGCGGTCGCACATGATGGACATATCCGGCACCTCAGTCCTTCCCATGTCTCATCATTCAGGATGACGACTTTGCTGATTTCGTCCCGGACCTCGTTGACCTGTGCGTTGAACTCCTCCATCTTGTTGATTCGATAGAGTTCGCAGGCACGATTAACCATGTCAACGATGTAGTGCAGATTATCGGCACCTGTCTCAGTCTCCGGCATCCTCTCGCTGATCTTTGCGACGTTCTGGAGGAACATCGCAGCCGACTCTTGGGAAGAGTTGACAAAGCCAGGGCAGATCTCGTTCTCCACACACTTCGAGTACGCCCTCTTGATGTCAGCGTACTCCAGGCGCTTCCCTCCGTTGCTTTTGCCAATCCAAATGGACTTGACCTCATAGAACGGGATCACGTCAAAGACCATGAAAGTCCCATTAGCCGCGACTCCAGCCCCATACCGCGCGAGGGTTGCACTGGGAATGTAGATGATCGCAATCGGATCCCCTCTCCTCACGTTCCGTAGCGTTGTCTTCGTCGCCACGTTCATCTCATCCCATGGAGCAAACGCCCCGAAGTGCAGTGCTAGCCTGTTGCCGCCATCGATTCCGCCGGGGACTAACCCACAGCGTACGATGCTTGGCAGGTTTTCCACATACGTCACATGGAATGCTCCTCCGAGAGAATCACCCATTCTTGCGGAATACCTATTCGCCAGTGCGGATGAGCTCATGAATCCAAAATCACTGTGACCGGTTGTGACTCGGATGCACCAAGGTCTGTACCATCCATCGCATCTGTTGAACATCCTGTCGATGTCGTCCCGATCCACGCCAGCTTCGGTCATTTCCTCCCTGGCTGCCCTCGTGTCGTTCGGGTTCATGATGCTCGGAAACCTTGCTGCCAAAACCTGGAATCTCGATTTTCTGCTTCCGGATTCCTGCCACTTGATCACCTCCATGATGCCCATGTATCGTTTCGCTCTCGTGGTGTATGGTGGGAATATGTCGTTGTTCCGGTCGTCAATGACAGCATCAATGTCGACCCATCCACCCTCGTCGCACCTGAAAGCACTTCCTCGGCAATTGCCGATCTTGTGTCGAAGGACTCTGCATAGGTCGTGAGATAGCTGGTTTGCTTGGTCCCTTGTAGTAAATACCGAGCGATCATCACCAATCCTGCATAGTGGAGCACCGTCGAAAGGAGCAATGCAGAAGTTGACACTCTTGCCAAGTTGCATCACGTCCACTTGCTCAAGGATTGCACCTTTGGGAAAGTATTTGGGGTCAACGATGGACGCATACGCCCATGGCAAGTGCACATCACTCACATCGCCATACTTCGGGATGTAGCACGGGATGGTGTCGCATCCCATCTCAAGCGTCTTCTTGAATGTCCTGTTGTCCCCGCACGGGTTGTAGGTGAGGTCGACGCCACCACATTGTAGCTCTCCTCCCTCAGCCGTGTCAGCCATCTCCACCAAATTAATGGTGTAGCTGTACATCTCAATTGTTTCTTTCCCTGCTTGTCCCCCTTTCTTTCTTTCCTTGGACGTTGATGAGGTCGGTTCCTCCGTATCCCCCAT